AATCACGGAATCCTTGATTAACTCTTACTCCGGCTACCTCCTTAATTCTTTTTTCTCTAAATTCGAGAAAAAATGCAATCTATTTACTCGTTTTCTGCCAGAATTTGTCATAAAAAAACACCTCATCGTCCTTGCCCGGTTCCGTATCGGTTGGCCTTTTTCCCAGCCGCGGTGCAGTCACATTACTCAAATACACAGTCACCTCCTTCGGTGGCCCATTCATCGGCGGCCCCTGAAAAATATATTGCCAATTTGCGAGTGCTTTTCAATTTGTTTGCTTTTTTTTACAAATGACTATTTACTGCAGTCCAAGCATTTCAACGCTCCCGTGCAAAGGCAATTTCGGTGGCAGAATTTGAGAGGGAAGAGGACGCTGGATAGCGATGCATGTGTTCAACTGGGCAATGAGAAAAGAAGGGATGGAGGGCCGCGCCGCACGAGGAGCTCGAACTTCACGCATTTTTTTGCAATTTTTACCTATCTCAGAAATAATCCCAACGCATTTTTCCCCTTCTGCAAATGCTGGTGATGCAAACCTGTAGGACGATGGCATCGCCGCACAGCACCTGCTTCACCAGGCCACGTTTCAGCGACAGTGGCTGCTGCTGCTGCTGTTGGTCGGACATCGGCGTGATGATCTGGCGATGAGTGAGTTCCTGGAAACCGTAGCATTATTTTCATCCTTTTTTTGCCCCTTTTCGGCCAATCCAGTGCCTCGCCAACTGCACAAATCTAGTGGCCGAAGATAAATTCGACCCCCCCCCCTTTCCTCTCCGATTTATCGCATTTCACTCAGCCTACTTGCCAGTGAAAGGAAAAACAAGGGGAGTTACCAATAATCGGTTTCACTGCTCCCCCTCTCCCTGAAACCGCTGAATTTCCTGTGACTCAGGCATAACACAATGACCATCCACCCCAACTGCAACCCCCATCCCTCCCCTCCGGGCCACAAACCCTTCGCGATCCAACCAACAAAAGCCCACAAGCATTACGGAATATAAGTCACCTCGTAACCGTGCACGGATGAAGTTACAAACGCCCTGACCCGGAAATGCATGAATTGCAAAAAATTTTTCTTGCTAATAGCGGGTAATGTTACCCCAAGGGTAATGGCGTAGAGATCTGATGGGGCAGATGCTGAGGGGGAGGGGGCGTGCGCCAGGGATTCCTCTGCTTAGTTTGGGAAAAGAGGGGTCGAAATAGACGGATTTAATGGCTGCGTGACGTAGACCCTTTGGTCGGTTGGCTAGGGAAGGTACATTTGGGAGTGGGACGACGATGTTGCATATTGGGATGCGGGGCAAATCTCGGAAGTTACACGTTGCACTAGTGACACGTCCCCGGAACAACTGGTACGGCGAGCAGTTGTTTTGTTGTTGCGTTTCGCTTCTCGTTGTTGCGATTGGGGCTTCCTTTTTCGCATGAGTGTTTGAGTGGGGGATTTCGAGCATCTTGAGCTGTAATGCCTTTACTGATTGCAACAGTACACCGAGATGTACCGAGGGATGTTCTTTCATTATTTCACTGGTTCCCCAGTTGCCAGTTTTGCCCATCTGTTGTCGCTCATTCCTACTGCATGACCAGCCCAGCTTTTTTTCTTGGCATACACTGCAAAGCAAATAAGGGTTAGCAGCCTTCACATACAAGCAATTAGCCTCTCTGGAATCAGCTTAGCACATATTACCTGTAATCTGATGTTTTTGCGTTGATGCACCACTCGCAGCGTTATAAATTGGCTTAATGGGCCGAGACGCCTCTCATACTGTAATCTATCGCACCTTCGCCATTTGGGCTTCCAGGCTGAACTTGGTTGCTGCAGTCTGTTTATACATATTTGAAATATTCAGGTGAAGGGTGTGGCGGATGAGTGCTGAAGAAGAATCGCCATCGAAAGCGGATATCCAGGCAGTGTTCCGGAAACTGCGAGCGATCTCCAGTAACAAGGTATGATTCGCTTTGATCATCGCTCCTGTTTTCACACATCACGCCACATACTGGTTGTTACTGTTTGGAAAATGCTCAGTTTTTGCCCATGGGCCTTTCTTCGTGTCCTATCCATAAATGATTTCGATGATTTCTCGTGGAAATGAGGTGATTTTGATCTCAGTAGTGCGAGAGAGGCTTGACAAAAGCAAATTTTAAAGAAGCGATCTAAACGGTTTTTGCAAGCTCGATACGTTTTTGAACGAGATTAATAAC